CAACATGCCTCCAACATCATCAACATCAACACATGATCATGGAAATTACACACGGGAGACCTTCTCCTACAAACATTACGCCTTTGATAGACACCTAAATATTCTCGGTAACTCTCAGGCAGAAATAAGTATGGTAACGTTTCTGAACCGAAATGTCTTCCCGCTTCAAGAGCCTCATTCACAACAAGAAACCGTCAGTCCACTCAACAACGGTCACCATGAATTAGGAGTAAGACTTCGAGCCCAAAGCAGAACCTACGTAAATGCCCCCTCTTCGATATCAAGTGCAATCTTCCAAGGATATCGAGTCTTCTGACATCAACCGCAACTGAACATGATCGACAGACCGAGAGGCTCTTCACGAGTCAAATCCTCAGCTCAAGTCAGCTAACACATGCAACCACACGACATTTGACAACACAAAAGTTGGCCGCAAACTGACACAGAACACCATTCGGCAATTGAAGTCGTCGTCGTCGTTGCCAACGCCGTCATTGTGAAGTACACTCAACGTCATATTGTATGTATATCGATGCAAGAGTCATTCAACCCATCAAGTATCAGCTCACTGCCGGGGTCCTCTCCGAGACGAGAAAGGAAACTGCCCGTGCTACTCTCTGTTGTTCTAAGTTGCTTGACAGCTATTCGCCACGCAGATATCCTTTTCCTCTCAACGAACCGCAACACCCTTCAACTGACTAAGGGAACAAAATCTTTCTCGCCTTCCCGGGCCCGAGTTCGTTGCCCACGCGGGACACATCAAGTCAGTCGATAACTCGGCTCACCTCGGACTCGGAAGCCGCGTGGGCAAAAAGCCCAATCCGGACGGACGGGCCACCCCAGACCCGCGAACTCTTTTCTCACTCACGCACACATCTCTCTCCCACTCTCTCCTCTCCGTTCCCTCATCCGTCCGTCTTTGCACCGCGTGGGTGCCCGTCCGCCCACAATCCGATCCAAGGTCCGCCCAACATCAGATCAACCAAAGGGAACCCCGAGTCAAACTCACCAAACACACATGTACACACGTACGTACGTACTACACGTCCAGTGCTCAAACTACGTTGCCCACTTCAGCCAAACCAAACCCAACTTTTGACATCTGAAATAAAACAAGGAACCAAAAGAGAGGAAATGGTCTACACTGCAGAAGAAAGAGAGATCCGGGCTTTTCCCACGGGCATATGCGTAGTACCCCCATCCGACCACGCAACCCCAACAAAGAAAGTTTATCGAGCAACCGATTTGGGGCGAGTTGCACTCCTTTCCTCAACCCTCCCTCCCCTCCATCTCCTTCCGCACGGGGACAGTCAGTTCGGTCAGTCCGCCTCACTCCAGCTGAAAACAACAACAACAAGAACAGCATAATAGGATGGTGAGAGGCTGGCCAGCTTTGAGGCAGGTCACGCACGGTGGTCCCGTCACCAGAGCGTGCGAGAAACTTTGACAAGCCAAGGCAAGTCAAGGGGGGAAACAACAACACCACCACCCGTGACGAGGACCCGAAAGAAGACACAAGAGTCAGTCACAACTCTCGCCTAATCTCTCTCGCCCATTTTCGTCCCGAGAGAAATGCCATTTGCTGGCTTTTGCAAGAAAAGATTCTAGAAGCACGAGATTTTAAACTTTAAATCTTGTAGATCACACAAGGCCAAGGGCCGAACACACGGCACATTGCGGACAATGATATGGAACTGGAACTCTTTTACAATCCCGCCGATTCGGGTCAAGCCAAGCAAAAAGAGAAGACATTGCCGGCGCGCAAGTGGCAGCATATTGACCCCGTCACGGATACTCCATTTTCTCTATCTATATTCCTCGCCCGGTACATTTGCCAGAAACAGGCAAAGGCGTCCCGCAGCCGCCCTTTCCCGTCAATCAAACCCCACGTACCACCACGCGGTGCTTTTCCACGCGTTCACGACTCGCCGTGTGATCTGATTCTCTCCGTACAACATCCGGGCATACTCTCTCCCCATGAATCTGGGGCCCTCGCACATAACGGCAGGCAGAGCCGCCGGGGGGAAGGCGGCCCACTACCGAGCAAAGCGGAAGCCAGCATGCTGTGTATATGAAAAGACAAGGCAGGTTCATTATGCGTTCTAGAGTCATGCTGAGAAGCTATACCCGGGGATGATGGAGGGTCCCCCGTCCGAACCGAGGGAAGTGAGTGACGCTCGCCGCCCGCGTATAGTCAATGTCATCGGTACCGCGAGCAGGACCGTACCGGCTAGAGGAACGGACAAGAGGCGGCGAGATAGATCTGCTGAATATCATGGACCAGGGCCGTCGACGGCTGTCGTAATACTCCAGCTAGACGTCTTCAGACATCGAAGGGTATCTATCCGTAGATAGGTTGCCCCTTCGCCTCTCCCCGTCGCCACTGGCCACTCCCAAATCATCCCTCGGTTACAAGACCGAATGGCAAAGTAGCACAGGTAACCATGGCCTGAGTACCATCTATTCTATCTGCTTCCCAGCTTTCCCAGGTTCCTTCGCCCCCAAAAGAGTTGGTTTCCCCCTTCAACCCTGGTGATCGACCTAGCCTTGCCGGCGCCAAGCGTCGAGGGCATGAAAGACTCGGCAAACCTTCCCCTCGAGAGTTCACGGAACGCCACGTGCAGGGAAGAGAGCTCCGTAGCAATGCGACTTGCTGGACTTCTCCTTCTTCAACACCATGGGTTGAAAAAAGTCACCCGCCCCCAATCAACCAGTCGGAGGAGACGCCCGCCGCTGACCAACAAGGTAGCCTTCTTGTTCTTTTTTCTGCTTTTTCCAGGGGACCAACGAGTCAACCCGACGCGAGGGAGGCCCTTCCTTGCCTCCGGCCGGTGTCCCAAGTCTGAGCGCCTACCAGATCTTTATGCCTCAGGGTGGCATACACCAATAGCATTCGCAGACGGACGAAGACTGCAGTTTCAGGAGTCGATCTCTTGGTCCAGGGGTCCATCGGCGGGGCGACGCCGAGGGAGGGGAGAGCAGTCCAGCTGTGATGGGGATCTGGGAAGATCATGGTTGTTCGAGGCGGTTAGGGGACACACCTGTGGTCTGTGGCGGAAAGCGGGAGGAACGTTTGCCCAGATAGTTGGCAAGGTCAGGCAGGCTTGATGCCGACTTGTCAGTTCAGTAGCCGCAGCAGTTCGTTTGGGAAGGTTGTGGTTAGTGTGGCCGTGGCAGGCAGGATCTGACATGACGGGATCTCACGATTTACCTGAGAAGGGCGGACGACGGGCAGACGGGTAGGAACAACCGGCTACAGAGGCAAAGCTCGGTTGCGAGATGGAGAGAGATGGAAGGATTCCATGCAGCTTGAGAGGCTATGTCGGCGCTTCCTCGTCCACAGACGCGGACTAAAGCAGTCGAGGCATGTGGCATGGCATGCCCACGAGGGCAAGTGAAGGCGACGCAGTGGCGGCTGATGGTGGGGACGACAATGGGCGCCAGAGAGAGGCAGAGAAGCAGAACATCTGTTAGTTACGAGAAAGACTGGATATCTCGTCTGTCAATGTTTCAGACATCTGCCCGAGTGGTACCTGTGCAACTCGGGCACGGCGTCAAAGCACATCGCCAGAGTGGGTGAAGGTGTGCGCCATCCATGCTGTGCAGAAACCGACCAGACTCTGGTGTTTATCGCTTCGGACGAGGACTGAAAAGAGAAGGACGGTGCGTGGGCGGGAGGTGGGAATCGGATTGGCCCTGGCACAGATCTTTGTGTTCATGGGACTGCTAGGCAGCGAAACGAGCATGGCGATATGAAACAAGAGCGGTGGGCGGTAGAGGTGAAGGAGGTATGGGTAAAAGACTCGATGGCAGAAGCCGTCAAGTTTGAGGTAAGGCCAAAAAAAGAGCACCTAGTAAACTAGGTCCCGTCTATCCAAGTTGGGAGCTTGCATTGGTCAGTTATTGCCTCGTCCGCATCTAGAGGTCGGCGATATGATATTGTTCCGGGTCTTTGCTCCGGGTACGGGGTCGACGGCGTCCGCACACCGCATGTACACGAGAGGACAAGGCTGGCGACTAGCATGATTCGAGAAGAATATATAGCGGAACGTCATAGCTAGATCATACGGGATCAAGCGCAGTCAGGCAAGCCACAGATGCTTGTCTAGCTGTCTGTCTCCGTGTCTTTCGAAGCTCGCGAGGCTCGAGTATAGGAGAAAAGAAGCACCAGTCCGTGTACTCTAGATCTCCCGGTCGACCGTCCGTTCCCATCATCAGGATCCGTGACAGCGGAGCCCGTCGAAGGAAGACATGCTTGGAACAGCCACTTTGGCAGCTTCTGGTTGTTGATAGTATGGATTCCATGAGAGGTGTCGGACCTCAGTTGAGCCAACCGGAACGCACCAACGAGAGATACCCTGCAAAGGGACTGTGGGTTGAACGCAAGTGCGGTTGTCCAGGCCCAGCCTTGCTGGGGAGATCCCTTCGTTTAGCAACCTTCAAGAGCTGAGCGAGCATGTTCAAAGCTGACATAAACGGCCGATCGCTGCCTCAAGTCGTTCTGGAAGACGATGTGACATGTCCCTAGAAAGTCGTCGCCCGTGTTTCATGTACCTGAAAACCGCCCCTCTCACCGTGTTTCGGGTGCTGCACAACATTGGCTCCAAGCACACTTGCACCCTTCCAGACCACCTAGGAAAGCTAGGAAAGCGGCGAAGCCCTGTGGGTAAGCCCGCCGGTTGCAGGGAAAACTGGAGAAGGCCTGCGGGTTGACATCAACACGAGCTTCTGCCCGTAGTTTGCGCAAAGAGAACTAGCCATTGTTGTATCGAGGGTGGGGGAAACTTGTTGATGGAAACCGCGGTGGAAATAGATGGCTGGGTGCATGCTGCTGTCGCATCGTTTACACTTCTTCTCCGCCGTCACCGCAGCTGGTGCGGATAGGGATTAGGGAGAGAGAACCACACCGTACTGGCTGGTTCATGCACGAATCATACTTCGCCATGGGGGAGCGCGGCCGGCACGGCTGCTGGGCGCCAGTGTCCCTGAGGTAATCGTGGATGCCCACCACCACCACCACTACCACCAGCCACGACGCGGGTCGAGGACAAGTCGACGTCGAAAATGTCATGTTTCGTCGACTCAGCGAGGCGAGGAAGATCGGCCGTCCCTTCCCTGTCGTTTCAGAGTTGCTCTGAGTTTGGTAGCCTTTCCCATCTCCACTGAACCGGATCCAGGGAACTCGACATGCTTTTCGAGTTCAAGGGTGAAGTTGGTCAGATGTATTCGTATCTGCTTCTCTGAACCGCAGTCAGTCGTCATGGCCGGTGTCAGCCAGGTTGTGAAGAACGCAACGGGCCCTGTGGTAAAAGTCCGAAGAAAGTCTCTTTTTCCTTTGCAGTAGCCTGTAGGCTGGTGGAACTCACCCACAATGGTCGGGAATTATTGTGCAGATTTGACAGGTGAGCGGCAGGTAGGCCGGTGGTGGCGAGTGACGGCTACCGTCGACCAGCCGCCGCCGGAGAAATAAAGGACGACGGTAGCGCGAGGTCGCCGAGGCCCCAGCTAGGTCGACTGCCGATATACCCAGATCCTCGTCTCTCACGCTCCTTCTCGGAGGTTCAAGTTTCATCTCATGGCTGGAGTCGTTCCTCGTAGCGTGCCATTGCCAGACGAATGCCCATCCCCATCACGGTCAAGCCTGGTAGCAAGGAGGGCAATGTTTCCATGTATGATGTCCCAAGTCCATGCAGGTAGGCGAGCACATCACTTTGGTCGGCTGGGATGTTTCTATTCCTGTTTCCTCGACCACGAATACTGTGCCGGCGGCAAGGACCTCGACCTGCTGGCGGCCGGAGCCCCGCGCGAGCTAGGCGGGATGATGAGGAGAGAGAATAAAATAGGAGATCTGCTGATGCGGTGTGAAGCCGAGATGGACCATGGTCGAGGTGAAAGGCTCGCAGGTAATCTCAGCAGCCGCCAGGCGCACACTGTACTGGGGCGAGGCGGCCGAAGGTTCTGCGACCCGATCTCACTCCCGCATGTGCCGTGCAACGATTCCCAGATGAATGGGCAGTGATCTCAAAAAAGCAAAAGCTATTTCTGGCCCATGTTGACCAGTGTGATGCGAGTAAGGGTAAGCGTGGGCGGATTGGTCGTGTGCATGCGCAAGTGGTATATGGAGTACGTTGGTGGTTGGGTACGGAGTAGACGGGATATGTGTGTGTGGTGTGTGGTGCTTGGTGTGGTCTGGAGGTGGGACGGGAAGGAGACCAGGCCAAACGCTGGGAGAGGGGCGGCAGCTGGCAGCAAGCGCAGGCAGGCAGGACAGGACAAGAGCAGACAGGCAGGGGAGGGGCAGGTGAGGTGGGAGCGAGAACGGGACGCCCCACTTGAACATCATGGAATGAATCTGAGGGAACCAATGAAAAGGCTGAGATGCTCCTAGCGCCTACAGGGCAAGCTCTTCAGGAATATCATTGGCTTCTGCGGCTTAAGCTTAGGCCGAATCCACCAGGGTCCATTTCTGAAACTGCCCACAGCTGCCCACACGGCATCAGTCAGCAGAACCCGACTGGCAGTATCCCGACAGACGCTGGGCCCCAAGGGCCTCACTTTGAGTGACCACGGCATCACGCTCCTCTTCCTTTTTCCGCTTGCTGGTGCTTGGCCCATTGTGTGTGTGTGTGTGTGTGTGTGTGTGTATGTGTGTGTGTGTGTGTATGTGTGTGATCCATGAGCATGCTTGGGTCGCTCACTGGTCAAACAGGCCCATGATATGACGAATGATACTAATCCAGCATCCCGGCCTCGAGGGGTCTAGACTTGATCACCATTCTTTCCTCAACGGATAGATGTTGCTTAGTGCTTGGTACTCCACGCCCGAAGCAAAAAAAAGCTCCGTCAGTGGTTTGTTTGGTGGAGACGAATCCATTTTACCGCATTCCTCAGGCGTTACGCTTTGTCTCTGAATCTCGAGTCTGAGTCTCTGCTTCTCTTTTCCCACATGATGTCTTTTTTCGAAAAAGAGTGGACATCAACAACCTTGTGCCGCGTGCGCAGCGTACGGATACCCAGCTACTGGGGACCTGAATCGCTTACAAGTTGCTCTACCCGTGTTCGCACCAGCATTGGAACTTGAGAGCGCTTGTTTTGGGCTTCTTGCGACGGCCGAGCTTCGACAAACTTGGGACCGCTTGGAGACTCAAAATAGCAGCAGGCAACGATTGCCTCAGTAACTCGACTGAATAACTCGACTGATTCGTCCATTTCGTCCCAGCTTCCCAAGGACATGAATGTGACGGCCAGCTTAGGAAATGGCCTATGCGCAGTCCAGAAGCGGCACGCATCCCGGCCGAACTTCCCTTGCCTGGCTTGCCTTATCCCCGTCACCGCATTCTCCGTTGACGAAAGTCTCACGATGCTGTCCGCGCGGGACAGGATGCACCTGTCAGGGGGAGAATGATCGTCGTTGATTCTTCCAAAGCTTCCCGATGCCCCTCTTTTGTTTGCCGCTACCACCAAGAATGCAGAAGACGGTAAACATTTAAGATTACGGAGGGGCTTTGCAGATGGTATCATGGCATTCGACCCAGCGGAAGAGCTTCCTATTTAGGCCGTGTCTCCGTCCTCATCGCTTGCCCGAGTTCAACCCCAGTCCGGGACCCCGAACCGTGAATTCCATCACCTGAACGACCTCTCTTCACCGTGGCATGTACGGAGTACAGAGTACGGGTACGGGCGGTAGAGGGATGGAGTGCAACTCGTGCTGAAGGGAAGGGAGGGCGATAGACGACAGTTCCCAGACAAGCGGGTGATGCCTGGCCGTGCGGGAGGTCGACAGCGGTCAACATGAACTCTCCCATCCTGACCGAACGCACTGAAGTCGGCCAGGGTAGCGGGACGATCAGGCGAGGTGGGAAAGCTGGTCGCCGTCTTCTCAAGACCCGGACCCGGACCTCGACCTAGTTCTAGCGTGGGCTTGCCTTGTCAGGAACTTAGCAACCATACAACCATTATCCTCGCCCACGCCGAAGACAAAGGCGAAAGCTACGAGTCTACACAGCGATTAGTGTACGAATACTGCGTACTCGGCGGGGGAGGGTGTTCAGGCGTGAGGCAGGCGACGTGCAGCTGGCATCTGCTGGCTTGGAGTTTCAGAAAGCTCGGGGTAGCGTGCGTCGCATTCTGGCAGGATGATCAAACAGCCACAACCATGGTCCATCATCCATGAACAACATCCCGCCGACGGCTCCCTCCACCGCGCAACAAGGCCGGTTTGCCGTCTTGTCAAGAGCAGTGCAGGACCGCAGGCTGATGCTTGAGATCTCGTACCTTGCATAGAGAGGCACAGCGCTGCCGTCCGAGGTTCGGCCGTCGCCTCCATTCCAACGTCGTGTCTTGCTCCCGACTTGACCCATGGGCCATGAACCTGCCCATCCTGGATCCATATCGAAGGCGGCCTTTGCCCTCCTTCGCGGCGGATCGCAGCTTTGTGGAACCGACTGCAGCGATTCTGAAAGAAAACGAGCAAAGAGTATCGCATTACCGAGTTCTTGTTTTTGTTGGTCCCGTACGAAGGATGATGTCGGTTTAATCCCCGAAAGGTCCACTCTATCGAGTTCATGTCCGCACTGAGCAGAAAGTGAGGACGGTGTTCCGTAAGGCCACCGTAACGGTCAGGTATTGAGGCCTTGGCCCGGATCGGATGGCAAGAGTCGAAAACGGGATGGCTCTGGAGCCCGATATTCTCCACATGGCCGAAATCGTGTTCTGTTCCTAGTCAGTCACTCAGTTCAATATCAAGACACGATTCAAGCGACCCCGTTGACGACACCGTGCAGATGCTGGGAAGAACACAGAGAACCGTGCGGATAAATGATGGCGCAGCCGGAGCATACTTTGACTGCCCAGTCATTGTGAGTGGTGACCATTTCAACAGTAACCAGCAGGTGCAGTCGTAGGGAGACTAACGTAGAGCATGCAGGCGAAGCGAAAATCGTGGACCAGTATAAAAGTGTAGAGTGATGTGCATGAAAGCTGCTGAGGGGACGAGCGCCATTTGGCCGCAAAACCTGGCCTGTCAGCCTGTGATATTGTCGAGAGGTTATTCGGAAAGCCTGAAGGCATATCGCCCCAATTGGTGTAAGGCCGTCCAATGAATCCTGGCACGACGGAGGGCCAAAGCCACCACCAGTGTTGCCGGACACTTCTTTGGTCTACATCGTAGCTCGCGGCAGCGAATCATCCCGTGTTGGGCGATTCTGATCTTCGCTGTACGCGGTGTAGTGTGATAGGTAGGTCGGGCTGGCGGGACGTCGTGACTCGATGAAAGCAAGCGTTCCTGGCGAGAGAGGCACGCGAGTTGGAGGGGCGTGAGATAAGCGAAAGGGGGGCAGTGGTTGCAGTTGCAACTTTGATAAAGGGACGATACTATAAGCGGATTAGCGCTTGATTTTGGTAGCCAAAGCTGATTTCTGAAGCAATGCGCCAGGCAAGTTTCACAGTTGGCAGGGCCCTGCCAGCAATTCTGCGGCAGCGACACGCAGTTTCCAAAGTGGACATAAGCAGAGTACGTACTGCAGCGCTTTCTTAGAGGTGACCTTTGCCTAACATTTAGGGCAGAAAACTACCCGATCCCCACTCCACATCTTTGCTAGCCAGTCAACTTCTGGCTTGGCTAGTGGCCCTAGCTTCTTTCTCGCGTCATCCACTTTGTTCCGACCTTCCTGCATGGCTCTCGCTTTCTCTGTCGATTCGTACCTTTTTCACCCAGAACCGCGGCAGGCCGCACGACACTGGCTACGCGCACGATCACATTCGGAGGGCGACCATTGGCGAGCTATGTACGAAATTTGCTGAGATGCCGCAGTCCCTCGCTGGCCTATTGTCGCATGTATGCTATGGCATCCCATCATACTGGCCGGGAATGGACTGAGATGAAAAGGTGCGTTGTTCTGAATGCAATCTGGTGATGGCTAACTACGCTAAAGCGTGACGGCCTCCACTGTCTTGGACTTATCAATCTCCTTTGTCTCTCTCACACTCAGACAAATGCGGCCGCGGACCACTCCGTCTCCGTGTGACCAGAAGACAAGGCTGGAAACAACGTTATAGGGTCTTGACTCTGGAGCTTGAGTCTTGACGAGGAATGCAGCGTGTCTGAAGCCCACGACACATCCCATCAACGGCTCGCTTCCAACGGTTGATGTTCTCCACGACCGGGAGCTGTGACGGTCCGAGCGTGCTTGTGGCAGCTGGCAGGCAAAGCAAGTTGCTTTCGTACAATACCGTGAATACCTACACTATCTGTACAGTCTCTGAGTCTACGGGTACTTTCCTGCGCCATATCAACGTACTCGATAAGCCTGCCGATCCATCGGCCGCTACTGTCACCGACTTCACTGCCCAGGGACTCGGACCTGCATTTCGACCCTCAGCTGATGGCAACAGCGTCACATCGGAAAAAGGCGCGCTCTGCATTCTTTCAGGGGCACAACACGAGCCTCTCGATGAGATGACGAGCCGAACTTATCCAGTACCCTTCGTCGCGAAATCGACGCTTGTCGAGAAAGGGAGCATATCCGATGTGCCCCAAGTCGAGAGCCACGTTGTTGCACAGGCTTTCGACGACGACCCTACGACCTTTTTTACCCACTGACTATTGGCGTCGCGGCGTCTACTTTCACGAATTGTAGTTCTCCTCCTCGCAGCCTCAACGGTCTTTCCTGCTGCAAGTACATGGCTTTGGCAGTCAGTCAGCCACGGCCGTCCGAGCTGCGCGTCTTGATGTTCCAAGAGACAGCTTTCAACTCGTAGTGGACTTGTCTCATTAAACTACCAGAGTGCTCGGACTGAGCGAACCTTACCGGTGCTGTCGTCGGCCGCTGCGGCGTATTCGTCCGTCCTCGTGCAAGTGCTCAGGAGAAGGCAATCTTACGAAATAATGGCAGCGATGTGTCAACTATTGCAGCCATTGCATCCATTGCATTCCGAGCAAAACGCGAAAAGTCACTCGTGGAGCTGGAGCTGCTGCTGGACCCCCAAAACAAGCGATATTGCATGTGGAGATTATTGGGCAGTCTCCTCACGTCTTGTTGCTGATGACCTGCACGATAGCCATGGGACATGCATTACCGTTCTCTAGCAGGCCTGCCTAAACCTTCTTTTCCCTCTTCATCCTTTGCTCCGTCAACACCCCTGGGCCGGTTCTGGTCTTGCTTCTCTCTTCCTCTTTTGATCGTGCTGAAGAAGAAGGCTTCATTTCACCGGACATCCAACCCAATGCAACATGCAAGTAAGAGACACGGCTCCGGATCTTGCTCTGCAAAGACCATCTGGGAGCCGGACGGCCCCGCTGCAAGGACCTGGCCTGCTCCGGTTCGCGGAAGACAATGGGAGAGTTCGCGAGATGCGATGACTTGTCTGGTTGGCCTGCAGTATATGAGTATACTCTGTCAGACAGCTGTGCATAAAATATGTCAAATCCCGACAAGTCGACTTATCCAGAGTTTGGCTACGCCCTGACCTCCAGGTCTCTCTTAGTCTAGAGTCTTATCCCAACATTGTTGCCGGCCTTTTTCGTCAGCTTTCTCTCCGCTGTCTCCGACGACGCCTCATTTTCCGTTCCTGCATGGCTGAGAGACCGGATCCACATGTCTTGCTCCCTTCTGGCAAACCCTTCGCCCATTGTCTTTGGCACTGCTGGTTCGTCACACACACACAGACACGGCCGTTGCCGTCGTCACAAACAATCACGAAAAAGGATACGATCCGGACAAGGTCCGCCGCGGCGAACCATTGATTGTTTCTGGGGACGGGGGGGGGGGGGCACAAGTGTCCTAGACCAACAGCATGGGTCTCTCAATCATGATTCAGAGATTCGTCAGATCCTCGTTCAATAGCCGGTTGCTTGCGGCGTGGTAAGTAGAACAAGCAAGCTGCGTCTGTTTCGACTTGTGCGGACGGGTCGGTTCTAGACGTACGATGGGAAGAGAGTCAATGTAACTGTAGTTCCGGGCCACTTGTTGTTGCTGCCCATTAATAGAGAGCACATATTGAAGTATTGCCATTTTTTATTTTAATTTTCTGGTGCCGTTCCTTGTCTACCTTCCTGCACCCGCAGCCAAACGACCCATACCCAGAAGGGTAGAACCAAAGACCTTGTCAATAGTAGAACATGGGGTTATCCATGACAGGGCCTCACGGACGGCCTTTCAGCAGCAGACGGTCGCCCAGAATTGTCTCCCGCTGATGTAGGTACTTCGTTCTAAAAAAACCAACGATGCTGAAGCGCACAACGCTCAGGTCTCGCACGCGGCCGGATCTTTTCTTCTTGCTGCCCCTCCTCCAGCGTCCCGCGCGTTGTGTGAGAATACAATGACTTGAGTACATGCTTCCCCAGCACGATCCATCCTAGCCAGTGCGACCACCCATCAGGGGAATTGTATCTTGTGGTTTTGCTTGGGGGGTTCTTTGGACCGGTATTCGTGGTTGTAGCATGAAGATATGAACCAGCCCAATTCAAGCCACCTCTGGAAAAGACACCAATCAGTGGCCTGAGACTAACGACGAAAGTTGACCGTCTCATCAACCGCCAGACGCCGCTAGCCAAGCATCTTCAACGGGATCACCATAGCAAATCGAGAATCTTGTCACTACTGGATCTTGAACAGGAGTTAATCGATAATGGTGGGATGGGGGAAGAAGCATTTTGGCCAGGGCCCAGAGCAACCAAGCTTTCTGAATTCGCACTGCATTTTTCGGTCCCGTTAGATTCACCGCTGGGGGAAGAAATACACTGCCAAAGCAGACAGCAAGCAAGCCGGGCGGAAATTTTCCAACAGGCAATGACGAAAGAACGGCAGTACGGAGTACATGCGAATTAGACCTCTTCTAGGGTAGAGTTGCCCGCGTAAAGGCAGAAGATCTTCCCAGAGAATAAATGCGAGAAAAAAAACCTCCGCTCGCCGCTGTCGACTGATTTTTCTTCTAGAGCGTATCCGTACATTATCTCCTTCTTCATTCCCCAGTTTTTCGATTCCATGCCATGGATGATGGTGTTCCCCTCCAAAGGAAGCCCGTTCACCGAAAACCAGAATCCTTGCTCCGGTCCTGTGTGCCTGGCATTGTTAGCAGGAAACTCTATCGGCACACCCTCTTGACGGGGTGTGGGGATCATGGATGGCGCCAAAAGTTGCATCCCAGCCCAGGGTTTGGGCGCGCGACCCAATGGCACGAATAATTTTTTTCTTCAAGATTTGATGCCCTTCACTGCATTTTCTGGGTCTTGCGTGGGCAAAATGTCAAGGACGGGGGAAAACGGGCCATGGTAAAGTTCAACGGTGCAAGCGTAATGACCACATACGGAATCCCGCCACAGAAATCGATGATGGGCATATCGGCACCGGGATGGAAATGAGATTCCCCTGGACTATCGAGATTAGGTCCGGCGCCCGGGTTTTTTAACCTTTGGAGAACAAGCTCAGAGAGCGTTCTGTCACGGCATGCCGCCGTCCGCCCAGTACATACACTACCACGACGGGGGGCCCAGCAGAACACGATGGGGACTTAAGGGGGGATCTACTGCTAGACATCTCGGGGCCTTTTACGGAGGAGGGGGATGCGCATATTAATCCCGAGAAAGGGCAGTGGAGATGGTTAGCCTTGCCTTGCGCCGGCCGTTGACTGCCTGTTTTTGATGAATATCCTGGAGAATTCTGGCCGGGTCCCTTGAGCAGAGAGAGCAGAGCACAGCACAAGGAGTAAAGAGACAAGACTTCGTTTTTTGTGCAAGAGAGAGACAGAGACAGAAGAGCATTGTCCTCTGTCCACCATCCCTGACGACAACAGAAGAATCCGGTCTTCCTGTTGGCCAAGGCCAAGGGACCAACTGGAACCAAACCCACTGATGCCCATCGAAATGGACCACTGCCGTTCATGGGCGCCGTGGACGATGTCCGCATGTCGCCCCCCCTGGCGGAAGGGAAGCCCTGACAGGAAGCAGAGCAAGGTTGTCGGCATCAATGACATGCGAGGTCCAGCATGTTAGTGGGTTGGGTTGGGTCGTTGGAGGGAGAGGGAGAGAGATGGTGGAGGGGGGACTTGTTACGCAGGGACTGCCACTGACAGTGACTTTACATGTGCATTGTGCGGCTATGGAGAACCACCAGACGCAGACAGTCATCGAAGACTCTAGGGCCTAGAGCGAAGGGCCGCGCGAGACTTGTCTGACCATCTAACTGACTTGGCTCAGCGCGTTGAGCGAGAGTGAGAGCGCGAGACTTTCTCCTCCTCCTCCTCCTCTTTCTTTAGTCAACGCGAGAAAGCCGCAAGAGGCGCGAGCGCAGGCAAGGGACAGACAGCGAGCGCGAGTGGGAGCCAATGTCAGTGTCAGTGTCAGTGTCGCTGTCGCTGCCAAAGCCAGTCAGTGTTGTTGCCGTCCGCTCTGTCGGCGGTTGATGGGTTTCCTGTAATGTCCCCCTTCGCTACGCGGTGCGGACTGCGGTGCTCTGCATCCCGCTATACGTATTATCCTAGGTGCTTAACACGACACCTTAGTTTTTACTCGCTTGGGGGCGCCGTTGTGCCTTGTAAGCGGTATGTAGCGATATTGCTTTGTGGACACACGAGCTTGCCGGCAACTGGGGCCTGCTTGTCCGGGGCTTCTTGTCTACATACCTAGGTGGTCCGTAGTAAATCGTCCTTCTCTCGTTTCTGCAAGATGCAATTCCCTATCCTGGACCAACTCAACTAGATCCATGATCTTAGAACGGGTTAGATAGACAAATAGAGAACGAGAGGTACAGAGGGACGGAAGAGAGACATTTGGCAGATACATTGTCTCGGGGCCGCTTTACCGGTTGCAAGCGAGAGAGACTTTGAAAGTGGTTCACCCCTGGTACAACTAAACTCAACTCAACTCTCGTCACCTCTCATCCGCCACCCCTTACTTTTTTCTGTACCCTACATACATACACTTTCCGCCCAGATGCCCCGTGCGCAAAAGGAAGAGAAGAAGAGGTGAAGAGAGATGAAAGAAGAAGAAGAACCAACCTATCAGGCTATCAGCCAAAGCTATGCCGATTGCGAAAGCCTTTGCCTTTTCTCCATCACACCTGCCTCCCCCGCGGGGGGGCCTGGCCTGGCGCGGCGCGCCGTCCTTCTTTCACACTCTATCTCTATCTCTCTTCTCCCTATTTCAAAAGTGACTACGGATAGTGTACAGAGCTCCAGATAGAGACTCTTTTCCTACAGCGGCCAAGCGAGAACGACGGGGCCTGGAATTTCGTCAGATGGGGCTAAGAGACAGACACTTGGGAGCGGGAAAGAAAGAAAACCGTCCGGATTAGCAGCGGCCATCTTTCTCTTGTCTCTCAACTCTCACTCTAAAGTCTCTCTGTGGCCGCCTGGCCGCCTGGCGGGAGCAAAGGCTAATTCCAGGTCCGGCCAATCGGCGATCCACAAAGATTCCCTGGGCACCCCCGGTTGGTACTTCCGCACGCTTTCTCTCCCCTCCATCTGGTGGTGCCGTGGTGGCCACCCCGTATGGTACAGTTTCCCTAGCAGTATGGGCTTCGACTTTGACTTCTCCTCCTAGAACAGGGACAGACAGGAACAGGGACGGCATGTCAGGAACAAAAGGAACATGATCTCATGATG